TGTGTTTAGGACCTCCTGCCCACAGCCCCTGGGTGGTAGCATGGCTGGCCTTCCCATGTCCGGGGCCCTTTTCTGAGACCGTCCTTCCAGAGGGCAAGAGCAGGGATTCCCAGCCTCGGCTCCCCAGAGGTTCTTGGACTCCAACTCCCAGAAGCCTTTGCCACAAGCTGTGTTGGCCAGGATTTCTGGGAGATGCAGTCCATCTGGGGACCCATGGTTGGGAACCGCCGGGCTAGAGAATATGTCTGTGAAGTGTGACGAACGGAGTTAGCCGGATCCGGGCCAAATCTTTCTCCTGAGGCTAACCGCCGCCTTCTCTCTCCTCTCTGCAGCTTGCAGCCCCAATGCTTGCCGGGCAATGGGCCGTGGGCTCCAGCCGAAGGGCGTGCGCGTCAAGGAGGTGGCCGACTTCAAAGTCTACACCAAGGGAGCAGGCACCGGCGAGCTGAAAGTTGTGGTCAAGGGACCAAGTAAGTCTTGGAAGAGCCTCCCTTTAGTTAGCTAGTTAGCTAGTTAGCTAGACAGACAGACAGACAGACAGACAGACAGACAGACAGACAGACAGACAGACGGACCCTGGGTACTTATTTTACCGACCTCAGAAGGATGGAAAACTGAGTGAACCTTGAGCCGGCTACCTCAGATTGAACCCGAGTCGTGAGCAGAGTTTTGGCTGCAGTACTGCAGTTTAACCACTGCGTCACGAGGCTCTGTTATAACTTATGACTTACTGTTTGGGGCTTTTAAATATACTAAATATTTTGGTTTTTAAATATTGCCTAGAGGGTTGTATAGACCAGATGGACGGGATACAAATAATAAAAAATAAATAAATTAAAAATGGTCTTTTAATGATGTAAGCTGCCTTGGGTCCTTTTTAAGGAGGAAGGTGGGGTAAAAATATTTGAAATAAAGGCTGAGTTTAAAGCTTGAATGTTGGGGGAAACTCTCGAGCTGGGAAAAAATTGCATTTTTTGGACTAGAGCTTCCAGGATCCCACAAGCCCCAGTGGGGATGCTGGGAGCTATAGTTCCCCCAGATCACAGAGGTCTGTGTAGGCTGATGCCCCTGCCTCGGTGGGGTGCCTTATAACGTGTCTGAGGAGTGTTAAAAGGTTCGTATCCCTCTCCCTTTTCTTCCAGAAGGCACAGAGGAGCCGGTGAAGGTTCGTGAGGTGGGCGACGGAGTGTACGAATGTGACTATTACCCGGTGGTGCCCGGGAAATATGTCGTGACCATTACGTGGGGCGGCTACGCCATTCCCAGGAGGTGAGAGCAAGGCGGTGGTGTGTGTGGGGCGATTCCGTGGGTACAGGCACCATGCGCCAGGGACTCTATTTCCCCTCCTAAGATTTGTCTCAAGCTGACTCCTTCCTTCCTTCCTTCCTTCCTGAATGTGACTATTACCCGGTGGTGCCCGGGAAATATGTCGTGACCATTACGTGGGGCGGCTACGCCATTCCCAGGAGGTGAGAGCAAGGCGGTGGTGTGTGTGGGGCGATTCCGTGGGTACAGGCACCATGCGCCAGGGACTCTATTTCCCCTCCTAAGATTTGTCTCAAGCTGACTCCTTCCTTCCTTCCTTCCTTCCTTTCTTCCTTCCTTCCTTCCTTTCTTCCTTCCTTCCTTCCTTCCTTCCTTCCTTCCTTCCTCGCTCTCTCTCTGGACGTGTGGATGCACATGGGTGTGGCAGCATGATGTGCCACGCAACCAGGTGTGGCCCATCATGCCACCTAGCATCCTAGCATGATGGCCTTGGAAGAGGTCTCTCTTGAGCCAGGGCCCGTCACGGCGGGGGGCTGCTGGAAGCCAGGCCACATTGCTGGCGTGGACGGGATTCTGCCCTCCCCTTCACACCTGGGGCGCTCTGTTCTCTGTTCTCTTCCTCAGTCCCTTTGAGGTGCAGGTGGGACCGGAGGCGGGGCTGCAGAAGGTCCGGGCTTGGGGGCCCGGCTTGGAGACCGGCGTTGTGGGCAAATCCGCGGATTTTGTGGTGGAGGCAATCGGCACCGAAGTTGGCACTCTGGGTAAGCGGTGGTTGTGGTGATGGTCCTGGCCAGGGTCTGGGGGAGGGGGAGCGATACGGAAAAACCAGACCTCAGAAAAGTTAGTTTTGGAGGGTGCGGCTATAATTCCCATGGTCCCCGAGACACCGGTGCCTAAAATGTTACTGCTTAAACTACCACTCCCAGCATGGCTTTTTGGATAGTCGAAGGATGTAACTTTTCCATGGTCGGCTGGCTGTGAATCCCCCCCCCAACCCCCACCCCAACCCTCCTGCCTCCCTCTAAACCGATGGCTTCTCCCCTCTCTCCATCCCTTGCCGCAGGCTTCTCCATCGAGGGCCCCTCGCAGGCCAAGATTGAGTGCGACGACAAGGGCGACGGTTCGTGCGATGTGCGCTACTGGCCCACAGAGCCGGGCGAGTACGCCGTGCACGTGATCTGTGACGACGAGGACATCAAGG